CATCACACCAGCCTCTTTTTTTTTTTTTTTTTTTTTAATCACACCAGCCTCTTGACGTCTCTCCGAATCCTGACTGTCATCTCACCTTTTGGCTCTCTCTCCCAGCTGTATGTGATTTTCGAGTTTGATCTGGTGACATGAAAACAGAATCCTGTCATGTGTCATCGGGCAACGGGCTAATAACCCGTCTAGGTTTATCTTTACCCACCCCACATTTCTCCGTGTTGTCCCAAGAGTATCATGAGAGGATGTTTCGCTGAACTCCAGGAACGTCTTCTGTATAGCGTTCTCCACCTCTGCCCATGTAGCCAGGCACCTTAGCAAAGGAAATGAGCTGAGCCAGGGAGTTACTTGTTTGTCCTGACCCCGTGCAGGGGCTGAGAGGTCTTTGCTTCCTTTTCTAAGGGCTCCTTTTAATCATCTGTCCTAGAATCTTGCCCTCAATCAATATCAAACGTATTGATCTGTAACATCGCTCCCCATTTCTAAGAGTATGGGTCACGTTTGTCCGTCTCTAAGCCGCAGTGTGCAGCTTCTTCGCTCTCCATGGGGTTTTCAAACTTGAGCCACAAGTCCTTGCAATGCCCCTGGGCTTGTTATTGACCCAGACCCTGAGATGGAGTTACTCAGAGCCCCTGAAGGCTCTCTTGGTCTGGACTGTCTTTAGGAGTCTCTCCCTGGTGCTCGTTTTGTCCTTTCTACTCTGAATATCCTTCTGCTTGCAGAAGAAAAGGAACAAAAGAGGATCTGGGTGGGGAGGTTCTTATTTTCTCGCTCTCAAGACATTTAGCAAAAGGAAAGGGCAGGGTGGTCCTATCACACGTGCGGTGACACTCCAAGTCTGTCATGAAGAACTCCACAACCTGCCCTTTAATCTTGATCTTGATTTCCGGCCCTTTAACTTGAACCCTCTTCTTCGGTCAAGTCAGTCCCCTTGCTGCTCCTCGAGCATGCCAAGACCTCCTCGCCACAGTCAGCCCAAAGCTTGTCTCCCACTTTGAAATGCCCACTCTTCCAGCCAACCCCTCAAATCCCATTGTGGCCTTTCTTGGGACGTCTCCAGCTCCTTTAACCTTTACCATACACTTGAAGTCACATGCTGGATTCTGCACCTTGTTCATTTTATTATAGTTCAGTTTTGTATTCCTGACAGTGTGCACCCCAAAGGGGCTGTATTCTATCCCTCACGGTATATAAACTAGCATAGGGCCAGGCTGACAGTCCTGATCATCATACTTCCAGTGGAGAATTCCGCAATGTCCAAACTCTGGCCCTTCACACACACCAAAAGATCCCAAGATAGCTGTGTCCAGCTCCCCAAAGGACTACTATAGAAACCAGATAAATCTAGGGATGCCGACTGGACCCGGTCTAGGCATGAATGATTTTTGCAATGTGAAATAAAATCCAAGGGTCTCTCTCCTCTGCCCCTCTTCGAACAAGAAGCTGGACTTTCCAGCTGGGGCTCAGAGCTTCGAGGCAGTAATGGGGTGGAGACCCCTCAAGCTAGCTGGGCACAGGACCGACTGTCCATTAGATGGGAAGGTTGCCTGTCTTGCAAGCTACCTTTCTACCTACACCTTTCAAAGGTGTGAAAGACTGACTGTAGTCTCCCATTGATGGGTCCCAAATAGGATTGGATCTGGGTTGGCTACTGCACCTTGAGTTCTTAGAGGAGAGGCGATGTCTAAATCCTCTCCAAACAGAGAGCCTCTTAATTCAGAGGAGTATAGACACACACACACACACACACACACACACACCCAGAAGATGAGGCCCAATTTGGGAATATCTGAGATGAAACAATCACAGGATCATAACAACGAAGACCTTAAATCGACCTGAAAAGCTCATGCAATCCAGCGGTCTGTTTGCAGGAAGATGAATAGCAGGGCTTTCTTACTAGCCAGTTATTCAATTCGGCAACTGTCACTGAGGACTTCCTGAGTATGTAGCGAAATCTTTCCCTGTGTCTGATTTAGTCTTTCGTCCTCTGTCATTTTCAGAAGAAATGGACAATAGATCATCATCTCTGCCCTTACTCAGGAGGTAAATTTTTGAGGATGATAGAGCACACTTGGCACACAGTAGGTCTCCACAGTTATTGAACGTTACCTCATCAGTTCCTCTTTCCTAAATAATAATAATAATAATTTTAAAAGACCTAGTCCTTTGGGACATTGCTTTTGCTCGGCTCCAGAACCTCTCCAGCTTTCCTTCCACATATGTTGAAAATGTGTTGACCAAGGGTAGACCCATGAGTGTTTGAAAAGGCCTAAAAGGAAAAGAACCAGGGCGCTTGGGTGGCTCAGTTGTGTAAGTGTCTGCCTTCGGCTCAAGTCACGATCCTAGGGTCCTGGGATCGATCCCTGCTCAGCGGGGAGCCTGCTTCTCCCTCTCCCTCTGCTCCTCCCCTCCACTGTGCTCTCCCATTCTCTCTCTCAAATAAATAAATAAAATCTTTTAAAAAAATAAAAAGAAAAGGACCACGGAAAATGTCATATATGATGGGACAACATCCTGGGTCTGCTTCTAACAGTAACTGAGGGTTAGAAAATGTTGGGCTTTTCTGGGCCCATTTCCCCAGATATAAAAACAAGTGGGTCAGACTACATGCCCCTGAGGTTACTTCTCGTTGTAAAACTCGGGACTCAGATTACTTCCCAGCAGTTCCATCCTATATTTTTGTTATTAGATGCTAGTATTCACATTAGTTTTGAAAAGAAGAAAGGGAGGGAGGGAAGAAGGAGAGAGAGAGGGAGGAAGGAGGAAGGGGAGGGAGGAGGGTGAATGCCGTCTCTACACTATGGACTCATTCAACTTGTGACCCACCCCGTCACCCTCCCCCTACTTCTTTTTTTCTTTTTTGACCAAACTGTGTCCAACCAGTCATCGCCAACTCTCTTGACTCCACATACCGTATTAGTATATTAGTTCTCAATTTTGGTCTTTGCACTATCTTGCATTCATCCCATCTGAACATCATTCTATTGTGTTGGTTTATCTCCCTCACTTTGTCAGGGTCACTTTGAAGAATTCTATTCCTGGTTTCTGAGGTGTCAGCAACCCTGCCCAACTGTCACACTTGAGGAGCAGACTCCCAGGTTCGGTCCTTCGAGTCACTGAGAAGAAAGTGAACCACCATAATGCTAAACCTGTGGAGGGCCCATTGAATGCCCCCTCCCCCTTCCCCCCCCAGGGAGTTGAGGGCCAGGGCGAACCCCTAGGAGCCCCTGATTGCAATCCTGGAGAGAAATCACTGCCAGGGCTTCAGTGAGTTCTCCAGTTGTAATTCACAGAACCAGAAACAAGTATCCCTGGGGAGGAGACGGCCCCTGCTCTGTCAGTCCTCCAAGACCAGGGGGTCCACCTATCTGATGCCCAACTGGATTCTGATGTGAGAAAGAATTTCAGCCTGTTAGAGGTCATACCTCCTCCCAGCCCCCAGTCCAGGATGGGGGCAGGATGGTGGTGATGGTAGCAGTGGCAGCAGCAGGTGGTGGTGGCCCAGTGGCAGTGGCTGGCTGCCGTGGGGGCGGGGTGGGGGTGGGGGTGGAGGAGGAAGAGGAGGAGGAGGAGGAGGAAGTATTATTTTTTGCCCTTTCATTGGGAGGCCCATGGTGCTGAGAGAAGGCTTCAGAAGCAGGAACCCAGAGCGTTGTGGGGCAGGGCAGGGGGGTAAGGGTAGGGCAACCTGCTTAAGACTAGACAGGCCTGCATGGGGGGTGGGGTGCAGGGGAGTGTAGCCCGGACTTGTCTCAGTTTAAAGGCACAGGACACAGAGACAGGCTGGAATCCTAGCCCACAGGGGCACCCTGCTGGGAGGTCTGTTGGGGCAAGGCCTGTGCAAGGGAGGCAGGTTGGGAGTGCTAACTGGATTTTTTTATTTTTATATCAAGACACTGTGTTTAAAATTTTTACAAAGGACAAACTCCATGGGTTTCCGTTAGTGTTTTAAGAACTTTTCTTTAAAAAAAAAAAGCCAACAACAACAAAAAAACACTGTCTTTTTGAAAGAGAAATGACAGACACAAAAGAGACTTGGTAAAGAAAATGGGGCGAATTTCTGATACCATTACCCCAAGGGCAGAGGCAGAACCCAGATTACACCCAGGGGCCCCATAGCGACGACCTCCACCAGAACCTCATTCACCAAATCTAGGGTCCCCTGATCTAGCCAGGCCAGTGATCCTGGCCTTTGGGGGAAAGCAGGTCACCCTGCAGTCTCTAGAGCCCTCCACAGGGACACAGAGATAGATGGCTGGAGAGTTCTCCCCTGTGGCCCTCCAACTCCATCCAGCGGTAGCCCCTTCCTCCTTTCACCCCATGGTCTTGCTCAAATCTGTTTCTTTCTTGGGGGGGGTCATGTTCCTTGGCCGGATTGTGTGAGCCCTGGGGGTGCCAGAGCCACACAGACATGGGCCTGGAGCCTCCCTTCCAGAGCCTCTTTGCGCTCATGGGTTGGAGAGGCATGTGTTCCAAAATTATTTTAAAAATCAACAAAACCAAGACCCAGAAAAAAGACCAAGTCTGGGGGGGAGAAAGAGCTACTCCGCTCTTTAAAGCTCCCAAGTCTGGAGTTGGTGGGTGGTGCAGTTCCAAAAGAGGTGGAAGGCGAGCACCAAGGGGGTGTCCAGCTGGTGCTTTTGGGCCCCCAGGAGTGTCTGTGATCAGGCTCAGGGAGCTGGCTTCAGCTGCTGTTCCACAGGTCCTCAGTTTCCCAAGGACTCACTTGCGTCCCCATTTGAAGGGTTTGTTCAGGTTTACTTCCTTATTTGTGTTTTTGTACATGCGGGTGCATGTCCACATTTGTCTATGTTTGTGCAGGTGGGTCTGCTGTCAGGTGTGGGTGCGTGTGTATACATATCTGCGTGTATGTGTGTGTGTGTGTGTGTGTGTGTGCGTGCTTACACGTGTGTCTGTGTGTGTCTATGGGTGCGTGTGTGTCCATGGATTTGGGCAGGAGGGAGCCAGGAGATAGGCTGTGCTCTGGGCTGGAGCTATACCCGGGTAGTGGAGTGTGAGTGGGGCAGCCCAGTACTGTTGAACCCTGCGGCAAAGGTGTTGTAGGGGTGCAATGTCTGCAGCCCTACCAGGGAGTTGGGAATCATAGTGATGGTGTTGGGTGTCATGAGTGGGATGTCGTCAGGAGAACGACGCAGGGTCAGTGTGTAGTCAGGCAGTGCAGTGAGGCGCAGTGTGTCGTGGGGGGGGACCAGCCTCACATTCGTGGTGGGTAGGGCCCAGCTGTAAAGCTGCCAGCTCCTCCTCAGGAGCAGCTCCCAATTCAGGGGCCCCAGCACCCCTCTGAGGGCTGGGCTGCCGCAGGGGCTCCTGACGCCGTTTGTCCTTGCGGTAGTAGAGGGCAGCGAAGGCTAGAACGTTAAGGAACAGGAGGGAGGCCCCCACGGCGATGGTGACACTTAACTCGGTGGAGTAGTCACGAGGGTTCTCCACCAGGAGGGGCCCTGCATCCTGGTCCCCGTTCCAGGAACCCTGGGCATTCTCATTGCTGTAGGCAGGGGAGATGGCTGGCCGCTTGGTGCTCCAGGTCTTGCCGTTGGGCCTGCGGGTGATGTGGGAGCTGTGGGTGGTATCCGGGGGCGGCACTTTGGTGGTTGTGGACGTATAGTGGAACATGTCATGCAGGTTGTATAGGTGGGGCACCAGGTGTTTCCAGAAGGCCACCTTGGTGGCCCGGTAATGATCGCGGACCCTTGGTTTCAGCCCGATGTGAAGGTAGAGCTGGTCTCGGGGATTGTATTTGGACCAGGCCACTTCCTCAAAGCGGTTGGCCTTGGTGTGAATGAACTTGGTGTCCTGGGGGACCGGCTTGTTGGGATCCCTGAAATACCACATGGAAATCTGGGGTCACCACTCTACCTAGGTGAGAAAGGGCCCAGAATTCTTCCTCTCACACCCACATTTCCATTTTTTTTCAGGGTCCCTCCCTCTGTCCACACCCTTCCTCCTCCCTGGGGCCTTGAAGTCCTATTGCCCACTGTATCATGGAAACTGGTTCATCCTTCCCTGTGCCCATCCTGTAAGGTCATGCTATAGATGCCTTTTCTTCTCACGTGCTCCCAAACATCAGCCAATCTTTTCAGCTGCCCAGTTATTCCAAGAACCCTTGAAAGGCTCTTCATGAAGGCACTTTTATCCCCACTTCACTCGGCCTCTGACCATCTAACCTTGAATCCCATGGTTCTCGGTAACACTCCCTGTGGCTCACTCCTAACGCTAGCTGAGTTCCAAGCCTCGACAACATGTTGGAGGGAAGAAATGGCACAAAAGATTCAAAAGGAGGAAGTAGGAAGGGAACGAAAAGGGGACCAAGCAAGATTCAGGGGAAGGTCTTTTAAAAAGGAGACAAAGGAAGAGGTCTAACCATAGAGGAGTGGAGGGGTAGGCATGCTGGGGTCCCAAAGAGCAACCCCCACTTTCTCCTTACCCGGTCTTGGCAAAGTTGGTCCAGTAGGTCATGACGACAGCACTGAGCATGACGTCATTCTTGGAGAAATTGCAGGGGAAGAGGTCGGTGGGGCCTACCATAGGGACACCAAAAACGTAGGGTACTTCGTCCCCATGAGCTGCATCTGACCAAGCAGGCTTCATGAGGCTCTGGCAGTGGTGGTAGAAGGCGTAGAAGTATGTAGGTGACCCATAGCGGGCGTGCAGATCAGCGGTCACCACCGAGGGCTCCACCCATTGGTGGTCAGTGAAGAGCGCCACCAGTGTTTTGCGGCGGGTCTCCGGATTGTCACGGTCTGCCCAGTCTGTGTACATGAACTTGATGGTCTCCCGCAGGGTGTCCTTGCCCTCAGGATAGCCATACAGATTGTCCACAAAGTTAGAGACTGAGTAGTCAAAATCAGTGCCTGAGACGCCATCCTCAGGGTCCACCACCCCTTCCACAAACTTGAGCCCCTCGCCCTGGTTGACACCTAGCATGATGTCATAGTTGAGGAACTCGCCCTGCTCCATGAGAATCTCAGGGTCATCAGGAATGACGTCGCCATCAATCACAGGGCCAAAGGCCACATGGTAGCGGGCTGGCTGGATGTCCTGCTCTACCAGCTCCTTGGCACTCTTTTGACGAAGACAATCCACCATGTCCACCGTGTCTAGCACATTACAGCCTACCTTGTCCGCCAGCAGGCTGGTGTACTTCACCGGCTGGTAGTTCACGGCCCAGCTGGACAGGGCAGAACCACTTTGGATGATGGCCCTCTGGAAAAGCCCTGCAGAAGACACGCAGCACCAGCTCAGATCATCATGGCCCCCAGCGCCTAGGCCTCCCTTGCCTTTCCCTGAGGGACAAATTAAACCTCTCCTCACTCCTCTGTCACTGAGGCTGCCCTCTGGGTGCAGTGAGCTACAAAGGAAGAAGAGACCTTTCAGGAAGAAGAGACCTTTCAGCGGGGATGATGGATTAGGACCAGAGGAGGTGTTGCTGGGCCCCTGCGTGACCTGGACTGACCCCCTGCCTGCTCCTTGCTTCCTTGTTCTGGAATGAGGGTTGGTAACTTGGGGGTTAAGGAAATGGCAGCAGGAATTAACCCCTTGGTTCCCAGACATCAGCTTCCTTATGCTCCCTCTCTTTATCTCTCCTTGTCTTCCCTCCTTGCTTCCTGCCCAGCTGGGCCCAGCTCTGTGCCAGCACACCACCAGGGAGCTGGCGCTTCCGCCACAAAGGGGTCTTTTTCATGAGAGATGAGAAATGCAGGCAGGAGAGAGCCTCACATTCTGGGAGTTTGGGGAAAGATTCCTGAGGGCAAAGGCCTGGGGATCTCAAAGTCTCCAGGGAGCATGCCCTCACAGCGTGGGGTCTCCACAGAGACTTTCCTTTTCCTGAAGCTACTGATGCCTCAGATCTAGTTTTTCCCCTGGCCAAGAGGGAGCCAGTCCTCTGAACTCAAAAAGTGGATGATTCTTCTCCCCGCCTAAGAAAAAAAGAGGGGGTATCATGCTGTCCCTGGTCCCAACATCCCCAAGTGAGGAATAATCTGGCCCTCAGACACCCTGTTCCTCTCCTCTAAGAGAAAGGCAGTCGGCATGGGTAGAAAGAGAGGGAGAGAAATATAGATTACTACTTAAGAGAGAGCCTCACTTTTCCACTGATTCTCTGTGAATCAGTCACAGAAAGACCGAGAGAACAACTCTTTAGGGGAGCCAGGCCCCTCAGGGGACAGAATGTAGCACTACCCCAAGAAAGGCCTTGCCCTCCCAGGGAAGTTCCCGATCTGAGGAGGCACCAGTCCTCTTTACAGACAGGAGCACCCTCACAATCAGTCATCTCACCCTCCTTCGTGGAGAAAGGGGTCCCTGTTCCCCCTACTATGGTGTGATTCTGATCCCACCCTGGTCTTCCCTCACTGGAATAGTCCCTCGAGGGACAGAGGCAGGATGTCGAGGTCAGAGAAGGTGATTTTTCTCTCTGAGATGGATAGGCCTTTTTCAAAGAGGGACTGAAAGTCTTCCTGTGAGAATATCACTCACTCACAGGGTGGATTCCAACAAAAAAAACCTTGTCCTCTCTCCCGGATTTCCTTTCCTCAGAGGAAGGAAAGGAACCTATTTCAGGAAGGTCTCTTCTACGTGAGAAGCTCATCTTTGCCTCTCAGAGACAGAATGTGCTCTACAGCCTGGAGTTGAAGGGAACTTGCCCTGCTGAGCCACAAAGGGCCTGTTTGGCTCCCTTAATGAGTCACTAGCCAAGCAAGGAGAGATGCTCTCCTCTAGGCTAAGAATGAATCTCCCTTATGGTTGCCCAGCCCAGGAGGAGCTCTGGTGTGGGCTACCAGATTGCCAGCCTCTCAGAAAAAGCCCACCCCACAGGTTAGCGATCCTCACTATTCAGACCCATCTCCTCGCTTAAGGACAGATCCCCTCCTGTACAGACTTGTTCTTCAGAGAGAAAGGCAGAAAATGAGTGTTTCTTACACCTAAAAATGAATTCCCACTCTAGATCTGTATCCTGAAGTCACATGTCCTTCCCAAACTGAAAGATTTCCCTTGCCCCCCCAATTAAAAAAAAACCCACTGTCCCTTCAGATAGACATTCTACTCCCACTCACCCAAACTCGACTCCCACACGGAAGGAGGATCTTACTCTCTCAAGATATAAACAGGATTCTCTCTTTCCCTCTCCTGCACTGGGAGAAGGACTTCTTCCCTGAGAGGAACATTTCCATTCCACTTCTCCCCAAAGGATGCCAAGCTGGTAGAGGAGGGCCAGCTGATTCCCCTGGGTGCTCTGGACCCCAGAAGGCCTGAGGCTCAGGGTGGGCAGCTGGCCCATTGCTAGCTGAGGTTCTGCCCCGAGCCCTACTCACCCTCAGAGTGATGCGACAGCGTGAGGAGGCTGACACAGGACGCACCAATGCCCGAGCCGAAGACGGTAATACGGCGGGGATCGCCACCAAAGAAGGCAATGTTCTCGCTCACCCAGCGGAGGGCCTGGATTTGGTCAAGGAGCCCATAGTTGCCCTTGGCAGCCTGATCGCCAGTGCTCAGGAAACCTGGATTCAACATAGGGCATGAGGACGGTGAAGGCAGAGGGATGGGGGATTGGGGTTATAATGGCAGGCAGGAGATGGGGGCGGGGAGGATGGGGGGGGGCATGAGGACAGAGGAAGGGACATGCGGTGGTGTTCTGTCCACCCAGCTACCATGTACCATTGCTCCTGTATGCAAGTTCCAGCCCCATCCATTTAGGAAGGATCGATCTGCTCCTTGCCTCCCACTCCCATTCTCCAGTGTGGAGGGGGTGTCCCCAGACTATTCGAGGGGATGCCTTCAGCTGGGAGACTTAAGCTGCAAGAACTGCAAACGGCCAGGTCCCTGAGGTGCTCTCCAAGCCATTACCCTAGCTCCCCGGCAAGATAGATTGGAAAGAGCAGGGACCCTGGAGTCAGATGGTTCTCAGTTTGCGTTCTAGCTCTACTGCCTACTGGCCATATAGCCTTGGGCAAGTTATTTAAAATATCTGGGCTATAGTTTCCTCTTCTAAAATGGAGATAAAAATACTTCAAAGGGTTGTAGCCAGGATAAATCGAACACAGGCCTGTCTAACACGCTCTGCACTCTCTAAGTCTGTAATTACTTCTCGTTCCCCTTCCTCCTCTCTCTGAAGGGAGCGAGGCTCCCAAGAGGCAATGGTCCCCAAGGCCTGCTTGCCGCCCATCCTGTCTGGGTTCGTCCACCTCCACACCTCGTTCCAGGGCCTCGGGTGACTCCTTCCCCTCATCTTGGGGCTGATTCTCATTTCCCCTCCTCCCAAGACCTAATGATTCAGAAACTTGGGGGAGGAGGCCCCGCAATCTGTATTTTTCACCAGCTCTCCAGGTGATCTGGGGCCTGCTAAAGTTAGAAAACCACTGGGTGAGGCCATCTTTTTCATCTGGTGGAGAAATGGGCAAGTCAGCGCTGTGTGTTACCACAGAAACAGGTCTTCCCGCCCGCCCACCCACTGGGATTTGCTGCTGAGGAGACATGTCACCATGGAGACTACCTTCCCACCCACCTGCTGGGATTTGCTGCTGTGGAGACTTGTTGCCATGGAGACTACCTTCCCGCCCACCTGCTGGCTATCCCACAGAGATGTCCTATATTCCCCCCCACCCTGCATCCATTTCAGGCCAATCACACCGCCTCATTTCCTCTCTCTTCCTTGATCCCTGCGCTCCTTGGAAAGCTCCCATCTTCTCCCGCACTAGGCTTCTGGAAGGGCTCTTTCCAGGCGGGTAGTCGTGGCGCTCCTACGCGTCGGACACCCCATACCTGGATTGGTTCGTTTTGGACTCCCCGTTTGAAAGCTCCTTTACAGCACCTGGGATCAGCTTTGTGGGAGGTCATGTTTGAAAAGGTCCCCTCAGCTCGCAGGGAGCTCTCTGGCTGTCCGGGCCAGCCATGGGTGGAAGCTGAATTGAAATAGACTCAAGCAGGTGCAAGACCTCATCCCTGTCTTTCTCAGGTCCTCCTGTTTCTAGCTTCTGTGAAAGAGCTCATTTCACCCTCTTCAAGGGTGCTATTAATTTACATTTGGTACCATTAAGAACATAAAGTACTTAGTTATTCCTCTCAGGACCCAGTCACAAGCCCTCTTTAGCCCCCAGGTTCCCGGCGAGGAACCATGAAGGAATCAAAGAAAGCCTGAATGAAGATGGACGGAGGGGCCCTTGTTCCTCCAGAGAAGGGAACCCGCTTCTCCTCTGCCTGTCCCATTCATACACCGAAGCTGCTGCTGCAAGTCTTAAAAAAGTCTGCTGACCAAGATCCACCCCAGCTGTCCAAGCCCTAGGCCCTCCTGCAAGAACCACTCTTTGCTTCTCTTAGCCCTCCCATCCTGTCTCCCTGCCTTTCTCCTTCCTCCGTATTTCCTTTCCCTTTCCTCTTATTGAAGCCACGGCACACCAGACTTCAGCCCCGGCTGAGGGAGTGTGCCGTGAAATGTGTCAATGCATCTGTCCCAGCAGCGGGAGGAGCCCGGTGCTTCAAGGTAGTCATGTAGACTTTCGCCAATGTGTCTCGATTCCCTGGGTTGGGAACCAAGGCCCGATGGGGCTGGGTGGAGGAGCCAACCACCCCTTTCTGCTCCCTTGGCTTCCACCAAGCCCCGGGATGAGCGGCGCTGAAGCATGCAGATGAGGCCATGTCAACCATCTCTACTACAAGAGTCCTGCGTGAAGTGTTCTATCCACTGGGCCGAGGCAGGTGATCCCGCAAATGTGACCAACCAAGAGTGCACAAAGCCTGGCAGCGCAGGAGAGCAAGCCGCTCACTGCTAGGGCCCCAGTAACTCAGCCGTCCACGGAAACCATGGGACGAGAAGGGCTAAAATACTCCTCCACAGAAACTGTCACAATAAACCTGAGACTGGCTCCCTGGGCCCTGGATTGGCACTGTGTGGTCCATGGTGGGCCCCCCGTCAACAGAGGATGAGGGATCAGGCACACTGCACCCAAACCAGAGCTCCATCCCTCGAGGCTTGACTTTCACCAGGTTGTCTGTTTGCCCCAAAGGCTGCCTGAGCAGAGATGTATCATCAAATTCTGGAACCCAGACGAAAACCTGGCAAGCCCCTACCTCCTCGGCCCTGGGGGTGTCCACGTCTGCTATCCTGCTAGTGTCCCTTGTATTGGTCTCAAGCCCCATGGGGGGACTCCTCAAATAATAAAATGGGATCCATGGACTGGTCTGTGACAGTCTCCATATAAATTAATCACCCGAGATGTCCCAAGAAGCACCTCAGAGTAAACCATATGTCTGGGCTCAGTGCTTCCAGAGAAGCTGAAGGGAGGGTGAATGTGTGCATGCAGCTAGGGGGTCCCAATCCGGCCCGCCCAATCTGGGATGCTTGAAGACCCAAAACAACCAAGTCTCAGCTACACAGCAAAGTCTCCAAGTGCCAGGGACAGATCTATGTTCTATGTCTGGCACCGAGAGACAAAAACATCTTGTAGGTACCCAGAATCCAATCAGTGGCTTATAGACTACATTTGGGCTGCTGAGCAGGCTTTAAAGGAGACACAGGAAGTGATGGGGGGAACTTTGGACCAAATCTCAGTTTGTGACTCCTTCCAAGGTTTGGGTAATAATATTATGTTGATCATTAACAGCTGAAGCCCAAAGAATACGATTCTTGCCCCCAGATGTGCTGTTTTGGTTACCCAAATGAGCAGGGGTTGTAAAGCAGGTGGGGTGGGGGTAGGTGCTTAACCTGAGTTTCTAGGATGAGTTTCGGTGATGTCCATGGAAACGTTTCTATAGGTTTGTGTACGTGTGTGCACATTTACCGGGGGGGTGGTGCGGGTAGGGTCCATAGCTTTCATTAAAATCTCAGAGGGGTCCAAGGCTCCCCCCCCAAAGTTAGGAACTTCTGATGTATAATATTCAAGATTAGGGAAGTGGGAGGGTTGTCCAGGAACCAGTACACTGGGTACCATAGGGAACAGTCACCGGCAACAGGCCCTGTACAGCCCACAGCTGCGAAGAGACACTTCAGATCCTGAATCTCTCTTTCCTGTCTCCTTGCTCGGTGTGATCTTGTCCTCTTTTCTCTCCCCTCTGTCTTTTCCTTCTCTTCCTCAATTCCCAGCCCCCCGCATTCCTCCCCGTTCCTCCACTCTTTCTTTTTCTGCCTCCCTAGCTGTTCCAATCATACGGAACCGAGGCACATTCTTCGTACTCTCTGTGCTTTCCAATAAAACCAACAGAATGGAGCTCTGTGTTTCTGATTTTTCAAAGCAGCCGGGTTGAACATTTTCTATCAGTCTCACTAAGAAAATAAGGGGGCAAGGCTCCTTCTGGCCTTCAGCTACCGTAGGCGCGTGGCTGGATATCTGTGTGAGCTTGCTTCTGGAAATTCCTGACTCTTCCGGAACCATGCAGCCCTTGCATGTAGCTTTATGGCCACTTTCTCTTCCCCTTTGCTGTCAGAGACTCAGATACCCTTCCGCAACAGGACAGATCACTCAAGAGAGCCTCACCAGGACGTCTGGGGCAACTCGGGGAGACAGAGGAGCAGCAGCCAAACCATGAAACCCAAGCCCACCAGATCACTCAGAGACCAGGGAGATGCCTTGCATGCTTCATCCCCCAGGATCCAGAGGCCACTCGAAGGGACACAGGCCCACTGTTTTCGGGGAATATCCTTTCTCCAGTCTGGACCCCAAAAAGGTGTCTTGCTAGCCCACCGAGTGTCAATGGTAAGTCAAGAAAAGATTGTCTTTCTGGGCTCGTGAGCTGTACCAGAAGTGGCATGGAGCACCAGGCCCTCTGGGGTTAGAACTGGCAAGAACAATACACTCAGAAGCAAATTAAGATAAGGTCCTGTCAGCCAAAGGGCCAGGGAAGAAGTCATGCCACAGCTGGTCCAGCACCCAGGCCTCTGGACCTGATGCACAGCCTAGACCCCCACTGCAACCTGGAAGACACCAGCCCTCCAGGTCAGTTGTCTTCCTCATGCTATTACAGGGCTATGTGGCTGCACGTGCCCTCGGAGGCCTGGGTGAGTGTCTGAGAGGGAGCAAGACCCTGTACATTGGGTCGCCCTCTCTGAGGTACTTGTGTACCTCAGGAACCTGGCCGCGGATAGGCAGTAACAGTCAGCAAGGAAGACACAGCCCAGAGGGACAGCCTACATCACCAAGCCCAGCCAGTGGCCGGCAGAGGATGTGGGGGGAAAGACTCAGGGGTGCATAAGAGGAGGCATTTGGGAAGGAAGCCTGTACGTGTGAGAGTGTGTTTGTGTGATGGGGTGGGAGTATATGGGGATGTAGACACAGAGAGAGTAGTAGAAATGCGTAAGTGTGTCTATACATGCTACGCAAGTGTGGGGTACTCACACACATGGGGGTGAGGCGAGGTGTGTGGATCTGGAGGCCAAGCAGGTGTACACGAGTGTGTATGTGTTTGTCAGGCAGGGTAGGGGCGGGGAAAATGTATGTATGTGTACTGCACATATATACGCAGGGTACGTAGGGGAGGAGTGTCTATGTGCGTGTATGTGTATACGTGTGTGTATGTATCTACGTGGGGATGTGGGTATTCGTGTAGGAGGTCTATGGGTGTGTGTACACAGCAGAGAGCTATGTAAGTATAGTGCCTGGGATGGGCATGGACGTGGAAGGGTGTGTATGTGTGTAGGATTTGCGAGGGTGTGTGTGTGTAGGATTTGAGGATGTGCAGCGTGAGGAGGTGTGGATGGGCGGGTGTGGGTGTATGTGTGTAGGGAGGGGGAATATTGGTTTGTGTTTAGGTGGGGAAGCTGAGGGACATATGCACGCGTGTGGGTGGCCGAGTGGAGGTGGAACTGGGAAGCACAGGGGGGTGTGAGTGTGTGTGTGTAAATGTGGAAGGAATATTTATGTACATTCAAGGTATAGTCATGCGGGGTTTATGTGCAGCGTGGATGTGTACGGTGTGAGTCTTTGTGTAGAGCGTCTACGTGGGGGTAGAAGGAAGTGTGAGTGTGGGTACGTGTAGTGTGTATTAGGTGTAAATGTGGATACAGAGATGTAGAGGGAGAGATAGACGGGAATGCTGCGGGGGTGGGGGGCTTCCGAGAGATCTGTGTACATATGGGGTATGGATGTGGAGTGGAAAGAGGTATATAGCATGTGGATATGTGTACAGGAAAAACCATATGTGTGGAGTGTTTATGGAGTGGTGGAGGAGCATACGTGTGTGTGTGAGAGAGGTGGCCTGTAGATGTGGATGTGAGGGTCTCTATGTGTACGGGTATATGTGTGTATTTGTGGGGTGTGTGAGAAATAATAGTATGCAAGGGGGTGTGTGGTGGGCAGTGTGGATGTGCAGTCAGGTGAGGGTACATGAGCAAGTGGATATGCGACGGGCTAGAAGGACTATCTGTATATGTGTGGGGCTTTGAGGGAGTGGGTCTGGGTGGGTAGGGACAGGGGAAGGACACTAGAAAGTTCCAGACCCTGCGAAACTCAGCCAAGCAATGGTCTGAAAGCAGCGACCTGACTTGCGACTTTTAAGAGAAGGTGTGGAGGTTGAATTGAAATTCCAGTGGCAGCTAAGCACTCCGGGAAAAGGCCTGGGAACGTGGGCAAGCACCCAGCACTTGGTTAGGGACCATGTGATATCACTTGACTCTGGTCACTGGCACCTGCTAGAGAACGGAGGCCAGCATTAAATCCCCAGCATTCTTTCCTCCTTCCCTGAGAACCCGGGCCTCCTTCAAGGCAGCTAGCAGAGAACCATACCTAGCACCCCAACCCGATAGTTGAGGGTGATGACGATGACGTTGCCATAGCTGGCGAGGACACTGCCGTCAATCATGTTGCCTGTCCCTTCCATGTATGAACCTCCATGGATGTAGACCATGACAGGCTTAGCGCCACTGTCCCGGATGTCTGCAAGGAGAAGGGGTGAGACACAGGCTGGGTAGGATGCCCTTCCTCCCTCACCCCCACCAGCCCTGGGGGGGGTGTGGGCAGCAAAGCTATCCCAGGTGCCAGGACACCACCGCCAGCTCTGGGGGCAGGACTCACGGGACTGCTGGGCCCGGAGCTTGAGCATCGGCCAGAGACTTAGCGGGAGGTGGACTTCAGCGTTGGTTTTAAAAACTCAGGTTTCAGCCTCCCAGCTGAAGGCAGTCAGCCAGGCCTGCTATGGTTGGGCCTAGGTAGGCCACAGGCTGGGCCCTGGGGACGGGGGAGCAGGAGGAAGAGGCAGGTCTGGTCTCTTAGTTGGCTCAAGCGAGTCCCTGCCCCCGGGGCACCCGGAGTCCTGGGACCTGACATGCCTAGGAGAGCAGGGGCTGGGGAGCCTTGAAACCCCCAAGACTAGACCAAGTTACATGGAAGTAAGGCCATTGGCAGCAGCTGGCCCCCCCCAGTGCAGACAGAGACAAGAGGAGTGGGAAGAAGGGGGTGGCACAGGGAGAGAACAAGGAAGGACGTGGGTAAAAGGGAGTGAAGGGCAGTGATGGGGTAGAAGGAACCTTAGTGACATGGTCTCTCAGCCATGTGCTCATTTACCCCATTGTCCCCCGGGGGCATCAGGCAGACTTAACTGGAAGCACTGGGTATGGGGGAGAGGAGAGGGGCAGAACTAAGAATGAGAGAGACCCCCCCACCCCACTCTGCAGCCCCTCCCCTCCCATCAGCATCAGGATGAAGATGGAGCCTCCCCAGAGGCCATTCAGTGAGAGACCTTCAAGCGGCCACTCCCAAGCCCAGTGAGCACAGCGGTGGCCTTGGGTCTGGGTAGTCAAGAGAAGGCTCCTGACCTGACCACCTTGACCTGCAGCCTCTCAGTGTGTGAGCTGGACCAACACTCCGCCCCACCAGTGCGGCCCTACCAGCCACCAGCGGACCCCCCCCCACCCCGCCGCAACAGCTGTTTGGCTCCTCCAGGGCTGGAGGGGCAGGGCCAGGGCAAGGAAGGTAGAAGGAAATGCTCTGTGCTGCCTAGCAAACACAACCTGTTTTCCCAAGGAGGAAGGCAGACTGGTTCCACCATCACCCAAGTATCTTATGCCATCTACTGACTGGGCTGGGCGTCCTGGCCTCAGCCTGGCACTTTAGCCCACAGCCTTCCTGGCCCTGTCCCGAGCCAACCACTGTAGTCCGGGGCCCTGAGGCCATATATCTTTTCCTGGGAGGAGGCCAGGGGGGTGGGGGGGGTGGACAGTGATGATTTAGGTGTTGCTAATCTCCAGCCCTTTTGGTTGTCACGGCCTCACTCTTCAGCTCAACGGCCTGCCAGGCCCCTCTCCCAAGAGCCCGTCTTCCCGCGAAACACATGTGTCTCTGCAGTGAAACCCAGGTATGTCCTCACCATCCGGTCTCCTTTGTACCTCTCTCTCCGCCCTCCCTCTGCCCTGCTTTCTCTCCACTCTCCCTGCTGATAGGTGGGGGCAGGTGCCCGTTGAACCACGGAAGATGCGGGAGGAAGCTGTTTCTGGCAGTGCCCACTTCTCTACTGTAGGACTCAGGACGAGGGTAGGGGACCGGGGCGAGGAGGCTGCCCCCCCCGGCTCTACTGGTGGTCCCCTGCGCCCTCCAGCCAGCCGGGTCCATCACCCAGGAACTCCCAGCGGCCCAGCAGGCCAAAGGTGGATGAACAGCCCAACAGCCTTGTATAGGAACAGAAACACACCAACGGACGGACAGACAGACAGACGGGGCTTCTCCCCATCGAGAAGGGGAGGGGCTCTGTGCCATGCACCAGCCGCCGCGCCCTGCAGCCCCCAAATACCTTCATCTTCATCCCCGTCATTATCCGCTAAGTCCTCGCCCTGTTTCTTAGCGCCGGATCCTGGGGACCAGACACGGGGAGACACAACAGCACAGAACAGAGAACAAAACAGAGAGAGAATTCAAAAACAGCATGACTGCAGTGTGGCCCAGCAAGCCAGCTCTGGGCTTGGGCCCAGGACAGGCAGGAGGGATGGCAAGAACCGAGGGAATGGGTGGGCTGAGGCCCAGACCTTTATTAGCCGATGGTGGTGTTGCAGGCCCCTGCTGGACTGGCTTCCTTACGCCTCCCTGCCCCGCCCCCCCAGTCCCCACCAGCCCTTCTCAGCCAACTCCCTTCCCAGTTGGGAAGGCGGGAGTAGCATATGGGCCAGGGCAGAGAGCCAGAGACCCACTCAGGGAAAGGATTTCTCCCAGGTGGCAGGGGCTGCACGTGTGTACACAGGCAGGCTGAGCTGGAGAGCCAGGGCAGGCGCTGAGGGTGACAGGTGGCCTTGCCAGAATGTTGGATACGGATGGGAGCTATTAGGGCAGAGCCGGGAACTGGGGCCCCCCGGCCCTGGGCTACCTGGGCCCGGTGGGAAGGCTCAAGCTGGGCCTCAGCTGACCCTGATTCCCAGAGGAGGAAATGGGAGATGAAGCTTTCCCTCTGGTCTTCCTCGTCGGGGCCCCTGCTCTGGCTGATGGCAAATGGGGTTCCTGTGAGCAGGAACCCAGCCTAAGAGCAGCAAGCACTGCTCTGAGATCGAGAGAGAGCCAGAGGGGGAGGGAGGGAAAGGAGGAACGGGAGAAGGAGAAAGGGACATGAGAGAGATGGAGAGAGACAGAGAGAGAGGGGAAACAGAGGAATAATGATAATAGCTCCTACCATAGACCGAGTGTTTACCGTGTGTCACTCTACGTCTGCCATACTGTTTGATCCTCACACCCCAGTGAGGTGGGTACTGTCTCTACTCCTGTTTCACTGATGGGGAAACTGAGGTTCAGAGAGGTAAAGTGACTTGCTCAAGATCACACAGCTAGGAAGTGCTAGAGGTAAGATTCAAACCCAGGTCTGCTCCAAAGCCCATGGTCTTTCCACTGCACCATGCCACCTTTCTGGGGACCGGGGGAGAGGGAAGGAAAAAAATCAGCGAGAAAAGAGGTGGAGAGTGGGGGGTGGGGTGGAGAGAAGGGAGGGAAGGGAAGGAGAGAAAAGAAGGGAACAGAGGAGAGAAGAGAGACATTTAAGGACCTGTGGGTAAGCTGGCACCAGCTCTCTTTCCTGTTCTAAGGAGATGAGAAGTGCATCTTGAGCATGGCTGTGGAGACAGAGGGCCTACTGCCTGGATGCTGGGCAGAGTTCGGAGACCAAGGTCATTCTGCCAGCATCCCAGGGCTTACCCTCTGGTCTATGACACCAGATACTCTCAGCCTGCAGGCAGCAAATAGCCCTCTTTCGCAGCTGGTCTGGGCTTTGGTGACTGAAATCCCTCACAGCTATTAATCAAAACAGGAACCGCCCTCATATTACAAAATGGCTTTTCAACTAGGGCAAGAGCCTCCCACCCCTCCCCACCCCCACCCCAAGGGGCAGAAATGGCCTCCAGCTTCCCGAACTTCCAGTGGCACCTACCGTCTTAACACCTGCCAGGACTGAGCTCAGAAACCCTGTGGGGCATGGGGCAGCATCACCCACATGACAGACAGCCCCCCCCCAAGTGGAAGAAGGGAGTTACTCATCCGGAAACATGCATTCCCTCCAACCTGATGGAGGTGGAAGTGGGGGGAGGGGGCAGGTCCTCCTCCCCCGCCCCCCCACGAAATCCCACACTTGCATGGGCATGGACTTAGAAGCTGGGACCCTATTGCTCCCCACTCCCCCCACCCACCAAGATAGACGCCTTTTCTCCTTCAGCTGAGCGCTTACGGAACAACTCCTTGTTGTCATGCCCAGCACGCAGGCCAGCTCCACCAACCATCCCCTGTCCCAGCCCTGGGCTGCTGCAGGGTCCCAGCCGGGGCTGGTCCTGCCTACCCTATGCACACCACAAGCCTAACAACCTCGGTGGCTGTCTCTGCTCCAAGAAGCGGGGGTCTGTAAATTCCGATCCAAATGGCCAGCTGGCCCTGGATAGGGAACTAATTTGAACAGTGAAATGACCGAATGCCCTCCCCCACACTGTCAGGGGCTCATTTCCCAGCTTGGCCTGCGGGGCTTAGCTGAACCCGCCAGGTTTCAATCCTAGGATGGGAGCTTCGTCAGAGTGGTGATGAAGCCATGGTTTAGGTCTAAATCTTGCCTCTGCCTCCTACCCCTCCACAGCCCCACAGTGCCTAGTTCATGGCCTTGCCCACAGTCAACAATCCTGAGAGCTAAATGCTTGCATTTGACCCGAGCTTCCAGTCAGCTCTCTAGCCAAACTCTCGGGACTGGACTGCCCTGGGCTCTCACTGGCACTCTGGAGGAGATCATTACTCCTGGAAACAGTTAAAGTTCACTGTCAACCTCTCTCCCTGCCCCCCAGCCCTCACCCAAGGAAGTAACCCACGGGAGTAGGTTTAAGAGACCCTTTTCCTGAATTCATTCACAGACTAGTAGAATGTTAAGGCCCGAATGGTCCCCTTATCACCTTCAGAGGCGGGAACAGAGGCCCCTCCAGGAAAAGACTTGCCTAAAGTCTCACTGCAAGCTAGCAGGAGAGCTGGGGCTCCGTTAGGCTTTGGGTTCCCAGCCCTGCTCTCTTTCTGCAACACCACAGTGCTTCTTCACTTGTGCGGGGAAGTGTGTGCTGATCGCCTACGTGTGAGGTCCTGGGCTGGGCATGGGGATGTGGCAGAACGCTGTCCCCAGAGCCCCAGGCCCCACTCCGTGCTCCAGGGTTGTCAAGAGCACTCAGCACACATAAGCTGAACATGTGGATTCCCCCAGAATCTGCCCCCTAGAGATTCCTGCTCAGCAGGGAGCATCCTGGCCCAGGAATCCTGACAACCCCACTCACTGCGAGGGCGGCAACCCTGCCCTAGGATTTCAAAGGAAAACAAACTCCAAGCTTGCCAAAAGGTTGTAGGGATCAGGCTGTGATTTTTCCACCTGTTCCTTAAGCTGTTACTGTTTTCCAATTAGGCCCAGCCCATCCACTGTTTCACCATTGTTTTCAGAGTCGTGAAGGTAGGAATGACCAGATGGGAGCTGCCTCGCGTGCTACAGTGGAAAGAACATGGCCCCGAGGGTCAAGAGACCCGGGTTTGGGTCCCAGCTCTGCCCGAGACCAGCGACAGGGCCTCGAGCAGCAGCAAGTCACTCCCCTGGGCCTGTTTCCTCATCTGTAAAATTGGGAAACTGATTCCTGCCTTACAAGCCCCCAGAGACGTGGGGAGGATTTTAAGTGCTTTACAGGACCTACAAGGGAAGCACATTTCTGGGTAAATGCAAAATTCAGGATGTTGTGTCTCCTTTTCGAGTCCATGGTTCCTAGAGTCCCCCAATGTCTGTCATGGGACTAGCCCAGGGAGGTGGGGGGCGGTCTGGTCACACAGCTATGCTCTGTCTGGGGGCGGTGGCAGGCCAGGAGTGATTGGCAGGATGACTTGAGTCTAAACGTCAGAGTCGGAGAGTTGAGTCTAGACTTCGACCCCAGGAAAGAGTAGGGAGGGGTGAGCTCGGGGCTGCCGTGCCAGGAAGAGGGCAGAGCCTCTGGCTTCATCCTGGGTGCCTGGAGATCCTCCCACCCCCAACGCGAGGTGGCTCAAGAGAGAACCATGGGCTCTGTCTTTGGCACACACCTTATGGTGGAATCCCGGGCTGGGAAGATCGGAAGAAACGAGGTTGCTGCAGCTTCTGCCCTGAACCTGCCTTAGGCCACCAAATCGTCCCTGAAGAACAGCCAGGGCCCTTGGCTAAGGTGGAGCTTAGGCCTGCTCACCGACCGCCCCCTGAGCCTAGGCTACTTGAAGGAAGGCTGGGTCCTCAGGGACAAGGGCAGGTGGGCAGGCAGCCCTCCCTCTCTCTCTCTCTCCCTCCCCGCCGGCTCGCTACCTACCTCCTTTCCTACAAATTTTCTTGTTGGGCTTTCGGGCGCATTCCTTGGAAATCCGCTTTACTGTAAAATGAATAAAAAACTAAAAAATAACAGGAGGCCTCTGCCCAGGGGCATGCACCCCCCAACCCCCTCCCCAGGCCCCAAGAGCTGCTCTGCAGGTGGCACATGGCAGAGAGCCTGTCCCACCATCTCCTTGTTTCTGTCACTTACCTTAGTGTGAGCCCCGCGGGAGGAGGCAGCGGCTAGCCCAAGAGGAGGCACCTAAGCAATGCCCACCAGGCTGGCCCCCACCCCACACACACCCAGCTCCCTTGGCCACACACACCTACTACCTTTCAAAGCAGACGGAATGGCAACAGGGGGGGCCTGGTGGAGCCAGCATCCTCCCATGGGCAGTTGCCCTGCAGGGACCCATACTTCCCCAGGGAACCCCCATCCAGCACTCTGGCCCTAGACCTGTCAAAGCTCTCAGGCCTGGCCAGGCCCCCTCCTGGGAACAATGTCACTCACACATGGGAGCTCAGACAATGCTGGGTGAAGGGAGAACAGGGAGGGGGAAGGTGGGGAGGAGGCCAAGCAGAGTGATGGTTAGAAGCATCTTCACAGACGGACAGAGGCAGGCTGCAGGGCACAGGACCACGGGCAAGCCCCGAACACCGGGGGGGGGGGGGGGGGGCGGGGAGGGCACAGCGCCTGGCCATAGCACTCACCATCCTCCGTGGGCACATAGACATTCAGGTAGAGGCAGTCTTCGTTGGGCTCCTGGATGTAAGTAGCGACAATATCCAAGTTGGCAGTGAACCAGACGGGCAGCATGACTTCGGGCACGGCCGTGTGGATGTTCTGGGGGCACACTGGGGGAAAGTGTGTGGCGTTCCGGATGCCCGACCAGGATGGGGGTGGCTCAGGGGGCAGGAAACGTTTTTCGCCGATGGGGGGAGCTGCATAGGGCACCCCCAGGTACTGGTCCACAGGCCCCAGGATCTCACTGGGCAGTGGCACCCGGGCACCCCTTAGCTTCCCAAAGTGAGTATTGACTGTGGGTGCTGGGGCCTGGGTACTGGCCCTCAGCACCAAGCTGAGGAACCACAGGGTGAGGCACAGGCTCCGGCCAATCGTGGACTTGGGGCTCAGGGACAGCGAGGGCGGGCCAAGCCGCAGCCACATGTTCCGGGCAGGGGGACTGGCAGGAAAGGCAGACTCCAGGGTCACAGCATCAGCCCGACAGGCAGCCCCTTCATGGCCACACTGACTTGAACCTCAAGACTGAGCTCTCGAGGGACACCTACAGGTGCCCAGCAACGTAGAGAGGTCGTCCAAGCACCACAGCTTCAGAAAGGGGACTCCCTCAGGGCCAGACAGGCCTGTGGAAAGAGGGAAGTAGGCGTCATCTAAGATGTTCAGGGGAGGGCTCCCAAGTCGGGGAAGGGGGGGTCTTTGGGGGCCCCAGTTGGGCGCTGGCTGATTCTCCTACAGGTAGGAGAGGTCTCCAGTGCCTGGGGTTCTGGGGACCCGCCTCATGGTCTCCACTGCCTCTCAGACCCTGGCTGTGTGCCTGGCCATGGCTGGAAAATCCTAGGGGACTGACCCAGGGACAGTTGCTGCCACTCCAAGTTTCCAGTCCCCAACTCCAACTCCTCCGCCAGTGGAGCTCATGGGGGCTCAGCTAGGGGCCCGAGCAGCATGTGGTCACGGGGGTGGGGAACACTGGAACCGTATGGAGCTCAGGTCCCTGAGCACGCTGGGCTGGACACGAACAACGGACTCTCTAGACCCCGGGACCTGCTAACCCCACAGGAGGACTTCCCACACCAGGAGAGGGTAGGATTGTTAACCTCATTCTGGGGTTCCAAGGCATCATCAGGAAAAGCAGCAGATAGGCACAAAGGCCCAATGAAGACCCTCTTACCGGTCAACCAGGGTTGGGGGGCAGGGAGGGCAGAATGGCCACTCACCAGAGTCCCCAGAGCCTCCCGTGCCCCTCCTGTACATTTCTCCTCAGCCCTCACCACTCCCAAATTCGGAAGCCTTGGTCCTTTCTGTGGGCTCTCTGTAATTCACACCAAGTACCAGAACTGAGACAGAGACCACTTTGCCTAGAACCCCAGGCATTGTTGATGCTCAGTCAGTGTAAAATACACAACAGAGTGTGAGGGACACACACACTCAGAGACCCGTGGAGGTAAAGTCGCAAAGACTCAAAAAAGGGAGCAAGAGAGACCAAGCCTGGCTCACAACAGACGCTGCAATCACGGAGACCGATATTCCAGACCCACAGAGATCCGTCATATAGTCCCACATTCTGAGACCGAGAGCCTCACGGAGCCAGAGAATCACAGAGAAAGACATTCAGAGACGCACGCAGAGACTTACTGGAATATAATCCCACACACACCACATAGGTAAATATCCAGAGACACATGCTGCATAATGGTGACACATAGGTGGAGACAGAAACAGAAATAGCAGCACACTCAAGACACACAGGCTTTCTGACACACAGACAGCCAACACATACAGGCGCACACAGACCCTGCTGCATGGACAGACACACACGCACGCGAGCACGCGCATACGCGCGCGCGCGCGCGCACACACACACACACACACACACACACACGCACAATTTAGTTTTCCCTATTTCTCCCGCCTTCCAAGATTGCCGGCCGGCTCCTTTAAGAACTGGCTGAAGGGGTGGGGGAGGGAGATTGGGAACGCCCGGCAATCGCCACCACCACGAGAGGGGAATGAGAATGTGTGTGAGAGTGAGAGAGAGAGAGAGAGAGAGGAAGAGAGAGGGAGGGAGAGGGAAGGAAAAGGAGGCAGAGGGAGGGTGAGAGAGATAGAGAGCTAGAGAGAGAAAAGGAGAAAGAGAGGGAGGGAAGAAGGAAGAGGGAGGGCGGGCAAAGCGACTAAAGGGGTGGGGGCTCAGAGGAAATGGGGAGCAAAGTACGGGGTTGGGGGTTAGATCCCAGATGCTGTCCAGAATGCACCCGGGGTTGCGGTGGGGGAGGAGGGGAAAGGGAAGGAAGGGGTAGGAGTAGGGAGGTGGGGCAGGAGGGAGTGGGTGTGTGTGTGTGTATGGGGGGGGG